TCGATTTTAATAAAATGTATCGTTTAAAAAAAAAAAAATATTTGAAAAATGTAGGAAAAGAAATATTAAATATATTTAAGTTATATATATAAAAAAATAAATGCATTATTTATATATTCTTTGTTTGGGAAGAGTAGTCAGAGTTAACAACACTGTATTTAAGTTATATAATCTTGTTCGGGAAGAGCAAAAGAGTATCAAAACTAATTTGATTGGTATAATTAAAAAAAAATAGCGCCTTATAAAAAAATTATTTTATTTTTATAAATATATTTTTTAAAACGTTTAAAATTATATTTTTGAAAATCCGTAATTTAAAGTTAAAATAATTGTTTATTAATTTTAACAATAAAAATATTCTTATGAAATATATTTATAACTACGTAAAAAAAATGTATTATTTTATTATAAAACTATTTTATGTACTACTCTTCAAAAACATGACATTGACTTGATTAAGAAGATGAGAATAGCGGAGAGCATTTTATTAAAACTCAAGGAAATTAGAGCTAATGTTGATGAAGAATTTCATATTTTATATGTTATTGTTGAGTCAAAAGCAGAGCTATACGTGTTTAATATTTGCCCCCCTCGACTTGCAGCAAGCAAGCTCATCGTCAAAACATTAATATAGGATCAGTAAAAGAGTATTATAAAACAAATGTCCCCTCTCTTAGATATATGTATAACCCAAATAAATGAATGGTTTTTAATTCATCATGCAGCATTTACAAATCCGCAGATATTACTTCCACAAAAGCCTTTCCAAACCTTTTTCATATGGTGATAGAAATAAAATAAATATTTGTTAGATTTTTATCATGAAGATGTTAAAACATCTTATGATGCCTTATTAGCTGAATAACTATGATTAAAATAATTAACTATGGTTTACAGTCCCCAAAAAAATCCTATGGATGCTTTGCATTATTCCAAACACATTTTAGATTATATTCCCCAATGTATTAAAATGGTTATATATATCAGCAACTCTTCCCATTAATAAACTAATGAGAGAACATTTAAGAAGAATAACAGAGCCTTGCAGAGATACCATTTGCAGGACACGGCCCAGATTTTTTTTTTTTAAATTTTTTCGGCCTGGCTTTTTTTGAAAATAAAATTTTCAGGCCCGGCCCGAATTTTTTAAAAATAAATTATATTTATTTTTGATTTTTATAGCTAAGTGGCGATTTCAAGTATTTGGTTTTAAAATATACAGCTGGGTATGTTTAAAAAAATTAAAATACGGTCCAGCTCGGGGTACGGGCCTGCAAGTCTGTGAAAAAATATACTTATGAAATGCAACATCTGAAAGTAAAATAGATTGAATGATTTGGATCTTTTGAATATTCGTAGGCATTTAACGCCGAGCAAGGATAGATAATTAATAATTGAAAAATTAGCTCAAAACATACAAAAAAATAACCCTAAGAAACTTTTTTGTGTATTATACTTTACATTTCCAACATTAAAATTTTTTTTATACTTTATACACTTTAAAAAAGCTCAAAAAAAATTCAAAATTTCATATTTGGATCATTTAAATGATTCATATCGTGGGTTATTGTTCACTTTATCTTATTTTGTAATTCACATTTATTTTAGTTTTCTCCAATGCCGGTTTATATATATAATTTTTTTTGTAATTCACGTTAGTTAAAAATTGTGTATTAGAAAAAGTTATTAGTCCTAATAAATTTATGCTTAGTATTTTTAATTAATAATATTTCCTTAAAAAAAATCATTAACCCCCCCCCCCCCCCAGACAAAATTCCCGCGTACTCGCCTGAATTTTACTAGATCTAGAACTAGTGACTCCTGGAGAATAAAACAAAATGTAACTTAACAAGTAATTTTTTTTTTAAAAACTATTTTTTTCCCTTTATAAGATATTTAAATTTTATATACACTTGACAAGGAAAGCATAAATTTTGGCCTTAGAGGAAAAAAAAGCCTTACTTTAAAAAAAAAACTAAAGTGTCATAACTTTGTAGGTTGGAATGATCAAATCATATATTTCCCTACATGTTATTTGATTTTAAATATTTGTTTAATTTAGTATTTGGTTGAAGAAGGGAGAGACTCAATTGAAGTTTCATACAATTTTTCTGAAACCTTTAGCGTTTTGGTTGAATCATTAGTTCCTCAAGCCATTTTTTATTAAAAGCTAAATATTAGAAATTTATTAATAAATGGGGGTTTGATTTTTTTTTTAAAATCTAATTTATTATGAAATAAATGCCATAATCAATGTGATATTAATATTTATATAATAATTTTTAAAATATTTATAAAAAACCGGGACTTGTATCCCATTAGCATCAATTATAGATATTATTTTTTCTGCTAAATAAATAGAGGGTTTGACGTTAATGATATTCAAAAAAAAACTGTTTTATACCCATATTATCCCATTATACTATATAAAAAACTTAAAATAATATGTTAAAATTATGTATGGTACAATTGATATATGATCAATTTTTAAAATAAGATCGAAAATTTTATTTGTATATATTATATATATATATTATACAATATTACATATTCCATATTGTTATTGGGCCTTTTCCAAATTGTTAAATAATCTAAATGCTAATTCTCATATTTAAATAAAATGTATTTTTGTTTAATAAATGGTTTAAAAAAGGAAAGAAAGAAAGGAAGATGAATAAATTTACCCTTTAGAAATTTAAAAATTAAACTAACCGGTTATAACGAAAATTTTCGATGTTTTCTGACTAAGCGAGCCAGCTAACCTAGTCAGTTCATGCGGCTCCTTGGACCGGTTTGAATTGGAGGAGTTTTTTACCGCTAACCACTCGAGTTGCAAGCGGTAAGAACTCTGCCTTTTTAACAACACTAGCCATAAATATCTGTTTCCCCATTAAAAACCAAGCCTAAGAGAATTTACACGTTAAATTTAAACAATTATTTAAATGAAAAAATTAACAGTCGAAACATTTCGATCGCCTAACACGCATCCAATTATACGTAAAAATTTTTAGGCGGAAAAATAAATGTTCAAATTCGGTTAAACACCCATAAAATCCAAATATTATGTAATTAAACATCTAATCCCTTTCTATACGTTTTTTTTCTTAATATAATCATTGAACTTAGGGTATTATTTCGTTACCATGATTTATCTTGAATTTAGAGTATCTAAGTAAAATTAGCAACGAAATGAGAAGTCGAAAATTTGATTAGGACTTATTTCGAAGGCGATGTAACGTGGAATTAGTTTTGTTAAACGGATTACTTCCCAGAAAAAAAAATATGATCTTAAGCCTCTGGATTTTGCTAAATATACGTTTTAGAAACCTTTGATCCTTCTATGAGCAAAGTCTTCAGGGATTGCGGTAGTATTTTTTCTGGATTGAAATATTCTCAAAAACGAGCCGTTTTTAAGCAACACTACTTTTTGGAATGAATATAACTTGTTCGTTTTACTTTTACATCATTTGCAATTTAACATTTTTCCCGCGTATATCAATTTAATGGTATTTTCGCCGCTAAATTTTTTAAAAAGAAAGAAAAAGTTTAAACAAAAATTCAAAAATTGACAAAATAAGACGTAAAGTGACAAATGATTGGTTAATTGCTTTTTTTTAAAAAAACCTATTTTTGATGATTCGACCTTCCAATTCTTTCTTAATAGTTTGTGTCCGAAAACTTTTAATTTTGAAAAGAAATGAAAATGACAAAAAAAAAAGAAACCTTTGTTCAGTTTTCACCTTCTTTTTTACAACGAAAATTTTTTTTTTTTAAAAAAATCTATATTTATATATATATATATATATATAATGATTTATATATTTCCTGTTATAAAAGTTTTCTATTGGCATTTGGTTGTATAAAAACTTAACTTCTTACCATGAAATAATAAAATCAATAACATAACATTATAATATATATATATATATATATGTATGTTGTATGGGGATTCGGAATCTCTTGATTTAAAATCCTATACAGAGGGCCATTATTCCATTTAACAGGAAATGTATTGTAGCATGTGTAGAGAAGTTACCCTATGAATTTCAGCCAATTTTTCCACGAACTTTAGAAAAGTACTTCTAATTTATATAGTAATTTTTATATGGATTTTTCGTTCAAAATATTTTTTTTTTTTTAAAAAAAATACTCTATGGCCTGAAATTGGCTGAATATATATAGGGTAAATACTCTGTAAATGCTAGAATACATTTATGGTTAAATCGGGTATTTAAATTTTTTAAATGACCCTCTCGGTTAAAGGATTATTATTTTCTAGTGTTGTTTTGAATGGTTTGCAAGACCTGAGATTTTGTTGATTAGAAGTGTCCCAAACCATTCTGGCCATCTACGAGCAAAATATTCTAGGTATTGGATGACAATTTTTCTCGATTCTAATACTGAGTTAGCCGTTTTTAAAAAAATCGGCTAAAAACCAGCCGTTTAAACAACACTAATTGTAACTTCAAAAAAGAGAAGAAAAAAAAATACTATTATAAAAAATATATAATATATTTCCATAAATTATCACTTTTTTAAACTTTATAATATCCAAATCTGATTTTAACTTTACTATATGGTTAACGGGCTAGGCACGATTTTGGGCAAGAGTGGTGCTGTCGCTTATTTTCTTTCTTTCTTTCTTTCTTTCTTTCTTTCTTTCTTTCTTTCTTTCTTTCTTTCTTTCTTTCTTTCTTTCTTTCTTTCTTTCTTTCTTTCTTTCTTTCTTTTCCGTGAGAATGTGTTTAAACTCAGAAATATATACATTCCTTTTCTATTATAATAAAATGTAAACCAATAATTATTTTTGTCACAAAAAATTATAAAATAGAAAGGGATGGATGAGGAAAAGGTTATTAATCCCCTTTGAAAAAAAAACGTTTTTTTTTTCAAACACATATTTTTTTTTCGCGTGTTAAATTAAACAGAAATGATAAAAAAAAAATTTTACGTATATTTTTTATAATTTTTTTTGGGGGAAAAAAACATAAAAAACACAGGAGCTTTATTGATGGCGATGCGTATTAACGGTCTCAATTACAACGAGACGTCGGCTCTCACTAAAGCCATGTTGAAAGGGTGCAACGAATTTAAATGGCCGGATGAGTGGAGAAATTTGATAGTGGACAAAGTTAGCACTATGGGAGGACTGGGAGACAAAGTGACCCTCATCTTGGTGCCGGCTCTATCAGCTTGCGGATTGAAAGTAATTTTATTTTATTATTTTTAAAGGTCGGTCATAAAAAAAACGATGATAAAATGTCAAAAAAAAATGGGGGAAAACATGTCCAAAACATTTTTTTTTCTCTCTTTCCTTCCTTCCTTCCCTTCTTTCCTTCCTCCCTCCCTTCCTTCCTTCCTGTCTTTCTTGATTATTTTGAAAATAGGAAATCATCTTATTAGAAGTTTTCTTTAAAACTATTTTTTAAGTTTATATTTCGTAAAAATTTTTCCTTATTTTTCAAGTTTTTGGATGATATAAACCTTATAAATATAAATTTGATTTTATATTTGTTAAATTTTGTTTGAGCTCATTAAAAATATATTGTTACTTACATTAACAAAAAAAACAATTTCTGGTTTTTTTTAAAACAACAATTTATACATAAATATTGTTACATTAACTTAAGTATATAAGTAATGTGATAAGTTGAAATTTAAAAATGTGATTATTGCATATAAAAATTCTCTTTGTTTTCAATTCAAGCTAAAACCAAAAAAAAATCTAATTAACTATTATCAAATAGGTTTTTATTTTTAATTAAACTTTTTTTTTTCTACTCCCTTTATCATATTACATATTAAATACCATTATATAAATTAATAATTAAAAACACAAAAATCCTTTTTTAATACTTTTATTATAAATAGGCGGTATTACGTTAGCCTAAACCTTAAAAAAAATGTAAAAGAGGTATTCGCGATTCGGATCATGTTTTGTATACGAATAACACAATCCGAAATTACTATTCGTTTTGGGGTTTAAAATTTAATCGAATATTACTTGACGAATCAAATAACGATTTTATTATTATTGCTATATTCTGGCACGTGCCGGATGTTCAAGGCTATTGGATGGATTTTTAATCATTTAATTTTATTGGTTATTTTTAAGTCACTCTTTGATTGGCAGGATTACACTTTAAAAAAAAATACAATTCTGACCTTTACCTGTCTTTTTTTTTTTAAGAAAAAGGAAACACTTTTTTTCTCCTCCTAAAATGTCAATTACCCCTCGGTTACGAGACAGTGATTAGATTCTTTTTTGTGGGCTCTGATGAACACTTAATATATATATATAAACTGGGGAAATTTTATAGGTACCAAAAATCACGAGACCTAATTTCGAAAGTCTAATCGGCCTCTACAGCATCAACAATACGATCAAGAAGTTGGAGTCCATTCCCGGATTTTGTGTTAATTGTGGATCCTTCAAGAGGATCGTGGAAATTCTGGATTTGGTCGGGTGCTGCATATTCACTCCCAACGAACCTTTCATTGTCTCCGGGCCTATTCTAGACGTTTTTAAAGACATCACCGCCACCAACGATAGCATACCGCTAATGGCGGGTAATCAACGAATTTATTTGATGATTATAACGTAAGAAAATGGAAGTGGAATATAATACTAATATGTATTATATAGAGAGACTAAGGTAATCGCAAATTGACCTTTTTTTTATGCAAGGGTCCTTTTTTATACTTATCATTTTTCCAATAACATATTATAATAATAATACATAGACTGACGTTGCATTCATAATATAATAATGATTTGAAAAGCATCACTGAATGCAAATCAGCCGGACCCGCCATCTTGGTAACCCATACGGTAATTAATCTCATGTTTAAAAAAAAAACTACCATTGAATTGATAACTTGCTTCTTCCTTATTACCTCGATGATTCAGGCAAATTCTTTAATACAGTTTGCGTCAGACATGGCCTCGCGTTTAGAGTTTACGATAATGATTTAGGTATAAATCAAAATGGCATCCCCAGCTGTTTTTCATTAATGTAGTACACTTTTAATGAATGCAGTCGTCAGTCTAGGAATCATGTCATCGCATTTTTCACGTGCATTTTAATATGAATCCATATCGATTTAATATTTTTCCTCTAGACAGATTATATACTCTTCGTGTGTACGGTTTTTTTTCCATTGTATTTCTCATATTAAAATGTTATATTCCAACAAATTGTAATAACCTTCCCTCTTTCTATTGGAGGGCAATTTTTAAATGTTTTATACCAATTAAATAAGGGGACATGATTCTAGGATGGGTAAATCATATTAATAATTAAATGGTAAAAATTATCAAATTGTAATTTCATGTTGATCTAATTATGTCATTGCTTTCCGTTATTTAGCTACCCTCATGTCGGAGAAAAAAGCGGAAAATATATCCGCCTTGGTAATGGACGTTAAATATGGTCGCGGGTCTCCGTGCAAAAACAAAGAACAAGCCCTGGAATTTTCTCGCACTTGCGTAATTTCTTTTTTTTTAAATAAAAGAATTATATTATAAATAGTATAAAAATCTCATCGTTAATTTAAAGTGTAGCGTATTATGAAACGAGGGACGCCATTGATTATAAATGGCGAATCTTACTCTATAATTACTCCCAAAGTGAATCAGATTTTTGATCGATCTTTGAAATAAAATCTTTATGGGGGGGGGGGGTCCTTAATATTATGGTTCGATTTAAAATTATCGTTTTAAATGGGATAAAAAGATTATACAATTGTAGCTCATGCGTTATACAGCTCTATTGGAACTATAATCTTTTTTTGTAGCTATAACTGTAATCTCTAAGTAAATTATTCTAATAAAGCAGCTTAAATTATTTTGATACATAACATAGATCGTCGTTTTACATTAAAACTATTAAAACTAGCTTCTTTATTAGTTGTAGATAATATTTTTAAATCATGATATGTTCAATAAAAGATTCAAATCATCGATATTGATATTCGATAGAAATCAATAATTCTAATTCTAATGTGACATTAATCGATGATTAAAATATGAGCAAGTCTAAAGCAGTATGAGTATGAAGGATAACCAAACGCGCAAATAAAAAATATTTAGCTATATCTAAATCTTGCTGCTTTCTTTTTGAAATAGTTTTTTTTATATATATATAGCATAAGTTCAGTTACTTGTAACTGTAAACTAGGCTATATTTAAAGTAGCTGCTATACATTTTATAAGTAGCGATGCCCATCCAATCATATCTTAAAAATTTTATATTATCTTTCATTCAATATTTATCGTTTTGTCAGGTTAAATTGGGCAACGAATTAGGTATCAAAACGAGAGCCCTCTTAACTAAGATGGGCAGACCCTTGGGGAAGTGTATAGGAGACGCGCTAGAAGTTGGCGAAGCCATTAGCACTCTAAGAGGGCAAGGTCCTGAAGATTTAAATAACCTGGCCTGTGAATTAGGTTTAATTCAAAAAAAAACACAATTTATTTTTATTATATTTCATATAAGAACATTTTGCTCAACCCTAAAAAGCAGTACAGATATATTTAAAACTCGCAGTTCATGAACATATATAATGATGCACAAATTTGTTACGAAAACATAAAATAATTTAGTTTTTATACGTGGATTTAAAAAAAAAAGAAGTATTTAAACAAATATTCAGAGTTATTAAAGGATCTAGATACAAGTATCTAGATATAAAAATGTGGTATCTTTATCTAGATAGATTTTTGATTAAATTATCTGTATCTAGATATTATTTTAGACGATGTATCTGTTTCTAGATCCATTTAAAAAGTATCTTTTAACAACACTGCAAATATTTAATATGGTTGGAAAAAAAAAATGCGTATTTAAAAACAAAAATAATTAGGCGGAAACCTATTAGTCGCCACCGGATTGTGCAATTCCGCGGTTGAAGGTTCCCATAGAATGCGGGCTTCCTTGATAGACGGAACGGCACTGCTCAAATTTAAAGAAATGCTAATGATTCAAGGAGTCGACGAAAATTTGGTCAATAAATTGACAGACCCCGAGATAGATTGCTACAAAATGCTGAGATACAACAAGCTACCTTTTATAACTAGTCTTCAGGTCTCAGATTCGGGTGATACAGCTTATTTATTTCGATACAGTATCCGATACAATTACATTACATATATAAATTTAATTTGGTTTTTAATTTTCAATTACTTAAAAAAATAAATTTTAAAATTAGGAAACTTTTCATTTTGTGTTTTTTATCATATACACATAAAAAAAAAGGTGAAAATTTATAATTAAATTTTATTATTACAGGAAAATTAACTTTTTACATTAATTTAAACGGCAATGTGTAAAAACGTATCATAATTTAATTAACACATAAAAAGATCCATTAGGCCACAGTAAATCGAATGTATTAATATCATTAAAAAGGTCAAAATTTACGAATTTTTTTTTATCGATTTAAGGCTACATCAAAGATATGGATGGTTGTTCGTTAGCTTCCGTTTATAGCGATATAACATTCAATAACAATGTGAAGGGAAGCGTTATTCATGGACTGGGAATTCAAATATTGGTTGATATTGGAGAGTATATTAATTCTGGTAAAGGAAAAAAGATAAATATAATAGATAAGTTTATTCGGGTTTGCAGGCCTTTTTTTGTTTGAAATTTAAAATTGTCACAATTATCGGCGATTAGTCTTTGCAGTGGTCCGGTCGGATTGACCGACGGGACGGTCCTGTCCAACAACACGGTTCGGTTTGGCCCGACCGAAGACCGATTAAAAAAGATAAAAGTTAATGTACGCGGAGCACGTAAAACACGATTATTTTATGCCTAACACTATATTAATATCTCATTTCATCGTTTATCTTTTAACGTTTCATTTCATTTCATTCATCAATTAATTTATATTTAGGTGAGATTGAATCTATTAGGTATTATATTTTTATTTCTTGGAAAATTGAAAGATGTGATAATATTATTGATAGAATAGCTGATTGATTTAGAGAATTTGGTGGGAAGGGAATGAATATGGGATTTCTAATTCTGGCCAAAATAGGAACGGACTATCTGCCACAGCTGACCACATCAGTCTAGCATGTGGACGGATCTTTTCTAAAGTTAGTGATAAAATGACCAAACGAAATAGAATGAATCAAAAATGGTTCAATCTTCTTTTAATGACACATTTGAATGATGGATTAAAAAAAAATGGAATAATTTTTGATTTTTTAGATACAATTAAAATACTGCTAATTTAAACATGATAAAACTTTTAGAGCTTAATTAAAAAAAACATATTTTAGATGTGATCAGAAGAGACTGAACCGACAATTTTACGGTCTAGTCACACGTGACTTAACAGTCCATCGGTATAAGCACCGGACCGAATCGACTATCCCTTGGTTTGGTCTCACCTGATTTTAAAGTCCATCGGTCCAATCTCATTTTAGAAAAAGTACCGGGGCGGGACTGGGCCAACTTTTTTTTAACGCATCATCTTACGTTTTATTAGCGTTTATACCATATAAATATTAAATAAATTAAAACTTCTTAACGTGATAATGGTGTTCTAATATGAATTAAAGCAGTATAATTATACAATGTATATATATCATATTTATAATAATTTATCTTAAAACGTAAGGTGATTCATGGATAAAAGTATATCACGATACGATATCGCTCTCGCCTGTTCACATGGATAGGTTGTCGAATAGCATAACTCTATCCCCAAATAAACCAGATTTAACCAATTACAAAATCATCACGGATTTGATATGCTAAATCACCACTGTGTAACCATTTAAACACGTCATTTAATAAAATATTATATCAATCATAAACATTTATTTTTCGAATCCCTTTCATAGATTAAATATAACGTGAGTTACTCGATAATTGTTTATTCTTTATTATATTCAATCGAATAGTATCGGGATACTTTTTTAAAAAATCATTATAATATTTTGCATACAATATTGATAAATTTATCTGAATTGTCTTCCTACATATATTTTATTTTCAGTGAAACGCAGCTAGTCCAATTTATGTATTTTATACATTTTAAATTAACATCATCAATTAAACTTAAACGTATCAAATCAATCTCTCATTACTCACAATAATCCCTAGAACCTCATACAAAAAATGATATATTTTTTTTTGAAAATGTAAATATTATATAAAATTTCGTATTCGCTAAAACATATTTCAAAAAAAAACAAACCACACCTCATCAAGTTTCAAATTTGAATTTGATTTTAAACCGGGAAATTTTTCAATGTTCTTGCAAAAAAGTGCGTCTAACATAAATTTAATATTATTTCAGGAATATCTAAACCGGCTAATTTTTTTTTATTCTCGAGTTTGATTCGAGATCAGAACTAAATTTTAAGCTAAGTAAGCTTCAAAACGGGTATACAGCAAAAAAAGAGTTTGATTCAGAAAATCCATTTTCAAAATAGGGTTCAGGTTTTGTCTTAAATAAATCAGGGAAATATCTTTAAGAATGACCTAGTGCCTTTTAAGTTATGGAGTAGTCCAACGGGAATAATTTATTAATTTATTGGGCATCACGATTGGTTTACTAACAACGTCATTCTTATCTAGATAAATTTGCCCAAAAAATTATACCCTACAATTTTGTCAATATTTACGTCAAAAATGTATCGCGACTGCACTCACTCCAACTCTTATCTAATATTTTTCAATTGTCAAATGTAGCTTTAGTTATAGCGGCGGCTTTCAACCCAATCCTTAAAAAATCTATCGAACTGCGACTACGAGTTGAAAACACCTGATCCTACAATTTCGAAATCAATTTTTTTTATTTATTTAGATATTTTTAAAAAAATAAACAATAATAAATAATATGCATGACAATCAATCATAGATGAGTGGCGTTAAAAAAAATAAAATTTGGCTTTTAGAAATGAATAAGTTCTTTAGCGTTTTCGTGGAAGGTGTCTTCAACGGATTTAATATCGTCGCTCCACTTACCCAAAATCTGATTCATAGTGGCTATCTAATAATTATTTTAAGGATTAGTGTGAAAAAAAAAGAGAGAAAAGAAGTAGATAATTATAACGATTAACAATTTTAAAGCATTTCTTTAAACAAGGAAAAAAAAAAGGTATATCTTAAAAAATTTGATAGGTTTATTCCAGAGTTGTTAAAGGATCTAGATACTTGTACTAGATATAAAAATGTGGTATCTGTATCTAGATAGATTTTTGATTAAAATATTTGTATCTAGATATTATTTTAGACGATGTATCTGTATCTAGATCCATTTAAAAAGTATCTTTTAACAACTTCTGCTTTATTCATAAAAAAATGTGACTTGTTTCAAATCCAAAACCCGAGGTTGAACCCACTTCATGTAAACTTTCTTGTCTATCTCGTCGATGTATCCCTTCACCAGGTTCAACGAGAGGGCTTTCATTACCAAATTTTCAACCTGCAATTTCGATAATAAATATCGGGCTAGTTTTTGGCTGAATTTGAGCCTATTTTTTTTTTTAGAAAACGGCAAACTCATCTATCTTAGCCGGAAATACAAAATATTGCATAAGCCTCAAGAATTTTACTAATTAGAATGTTCAAACCCCTTTGTACCAATCTACGAGAGCAAAATCTTCAGGCTTGCATAATATCGCTCCGGACAAAATAGTGAGTTTAGCTGGCCGTATCTTAAAAATTGGCTCTCAAAGGCACTAATTTTAGATTTATTTTAAAAAAATTTTAAATTAAGTTGTTTAGGTTAATAATAAGAGGTATATTATAGAAAATAGTTTTAGTTTCCATAGTTAACTCAAAAATGTAGAATATTAAAGAAATTACAGTACTCGAACAAAAGTTCATAAATTCAAATTTTAAATGGTATATTTTAATCAATCTATACATCTTTGATAGGAACCTCTGCACCTTTTGATATTTCTTCAAAGGTTAATTGTCTGTTATTAGCTGGCTTTTTGTAAGTCATCTGATGAGATAAATGTAATTGTAAAAATATATATATATAATTGAAGTGAAAAAGATTTAAAAAAATGGTTTTGTGGCTATTAATAACAAAATATTACAAAAAAAAAATTTGAAAACTAAAATAAATATTTAACATTTCAGAATTATGATAAATATTAGCTAGAGCTAATATAACAACATTTTATGGCTTAAATATCAATATGGATTTATAATTATAAGTTATATTATCCTTAGCAAAATAAATAAATAGAGCCTATATTTTATACCCTTACATTTACTAATTTCGAATCCAATAAATTTATATCCACAAAATGAATATTCAATTTTAATCATATTCAAAAACCTCCATGAGGCATAAAAGCTTGATCTTCTTCTCCAACAGAGTCGATTTTTCTTTCAAAAGCGACATTTTACTCCACCGGGGCTTGAGTTTTTCCATCTTTTTAAGGTCTCCGCCATTGAAAGCGTAAAGTAATTCCACTAACCAACCATAGTCTTTAGCTTGATCGCTAGAATTTCGCATCGAATCGAAAACGGGGTGAGATAACTTCGCCGTTTTTTTTTAAAATTAAATTATGAAATAATTAATTTTAATCGAAAAAATTATCCCGCTGTCATTTATTCGGACACGAATTAGCGCAGGTTACAGAAATATTTTTACCCAACTAATCACTTATAGTTGGGTAATAGCTATAATTTTTAGCCGTTTTAGCCAATTTTTAGGCGAAAGCTATCACTTTGGCCTCGGGATTTTTCTGAAAATGATCGCAGCTCACAATTTGGGAAGTAAAAACGGCCTAATGTTAACGGATTTTCTCCGATAGTCGTCCGAAGATTGAACCGAATTAGATTCTATTTAGCCATTCCCCAACTATACTAATCACCTGAAACTCTAAATAAATGACGGACTTGGAAAAATCGTTTAGCTTTCTAAATAGAGTCTAAATGTTAAATTATATATATTTTTTTTTAAAAAATGACTAAAATTTAGATAAAAAACTAAATCATATATATACCGCCATGTATAATTTATACAATGAGACATATGTATGACTGTTCCACGTCATTACAGAGAAACCATTACAGAGAATGTATTTTACAGAGAAACTTAAATAGAGAAAACAATTATAGAGAATGTCGTTTATAGAAAGTTTTATATGCATTTATAGGAAGACAATTATAGAGAATGTCGTTTATAGAGAATAATTTTATAGAGAATAATTTTACAGGGAATGATTTTATAGAATAATTTTACAGGGAATGATTTTATAGAGAATTATTTTATAATGAATGTATTTTATAGAAATATTTTATAAAGAATCTATTTTATGGGGAATTATTTTATAGAGAATGATTTTACAGAGAAGGATTTTATAGAGAATGTATTTTATAGAGAATTATTTTATAATGAATGTATTTTATAGAATTATTTAATAAAGAATATTATTTTATAGAGAATTATTTTATACAAAATTTTATTTAAGAATATGATTATTTTATAAAAAATGTTATTTATAGTCATAGGAAAAAATACAGTATTTGACATAATATTATATATTAGAATTACCTTATATAAGAGAATAATTGGGTAGTTTTTGAATTATTAATCGGTACAGAAAATTATTTATTTATCTTTGCACAAGGTTTTCCTATTATAAGATGGATTAATGGTAGAACAAAATTTTAACATGATTTGTAAGGAAAATCATATAGTAAAGGAATAAAAAATTTTTTTACAAATTTAAATTAATTTTTTAATTACATTTATTTAAATTAAGTAACTAGTTACTTTTGGCAGTTACTTTCTAAAAATGTAGCCAGCTACAGTTACGATTTTGTAAAGTTATAAATATTTTTTAGCTAAAGTGTAGCTAGTTAATGGTAACCACTTAATTTGACAAAACTTAATGTAGAGATTTTCATTTGTTTTTTTTTATCTTCAGCAAATTTATTTAGTTCTTGCTTATATTATTATTCTTCCTAAAAATTTTCAATTATAGATGGGAAACACCGATATTCTTAAGTTAAAAGTTATTTGTCACTAAGAGATAAACAAATTTTGACATGATTTGTAAGGAATTTTACGAAATCATTTGTATTCGGTTCACGAGATAGTGTCAATTCCATAGAGAAATGCTAAATATTGGCAACTTCCTCTCCATCTATCATTTTTCCAATCCACGACTCTTCAAAGTATTCTATCAAGGGGGAGAGAATATCCCTATTTTCTTGATTAAATTTAAAAGCACATAATTCCTCGAATCCATAAATTACATTTTCAATTGGTACATATGCCAGTGACATTAAAATTTTTATGTACATAGCAAAATTTGTTTCAGTTTTGTATGCATGGCAAATTAGCGGATTTTTTTGAACCGTGCGCCATATGCATTAAGACATATGAAACAGGCATCCGGGCAAAAGTAACTGGTTACTTAATTTATATATATATTTCAATAAATATATTTAAATGATAAATTTAAATTTGTAAATATTTTTTAACATCCTTTTATTATATGATTTAAATCTTAGCCAATGAATTTATTTTAATATAAATATATTCGATTTAAAGTAATTTAATCGATCCGGCTAGCCTTGAATCTACTATCCACCACTAAAAATAATTGTAACTAATGGCTAGTTATATTTAAAAAAAAAGAAAACTATTAACTGTAACTTGTTATAATATCCAAAATTTAAGTACAAACTTAACTAGTTGCATTACACTGCCGAAGTAACTTATAACAACACTATCTATTTTATCGTGTACTTATCTTTAAAAATAAATTTCGTAAAATTCCTTATAAATCATGTCAAAATTTTATTCTATCATTTATTCATATCTACTAATATCGAAAATCCTCGCTTATATAAGTTAATTCTAATATTTAAAATTATGTAAAATACTATAACTTTTATTTTCCTATAACTATATATAACATTTTTTTCATAAAATAATCATATCTTTAAGTAAAAATCTTTATAAAATAATTCTCTATAAAATCATTCTCTATAAAATTATTCTCTGTAAAATCATTCTCTATAAAATTATTCTCTATAAAATCATTCTCTATTAAATCATTCTCTATAAAATTATTCTCTATAAAATAATTCTTTGTAAAATACATTCTCTATAATATAATTCTCTGTAAAAACATTCTTTATAAAATAATTCTCTATAAAATCATTCTCTGCAAAATCAATCTCTATTTAATCATTCTCTGCAAAATCATTCTCTATAAAATTATTCTCTGTTAAATCATTCTCTATATACAACATTCTCTATAATTGTTTTCTCTATAAAAAATTCTGTGTAAAATACATTCTCTATAATCGACATTCTCTATAATTGTTTTCTCTGTAAAAGTTTTCATATAATTGTTTTCTCTGTAAAAGTTTTCATATAATTGTTTTCTCTGTAATGACGCGATACCATGTATGACTACTCGGGAGAAGTGGCATAATAAAGAACACTTTTAAAATATCTATCTTTCAAAAATGAGGGATATTGAATTGACTAAAAAGAAAGCTATCAATATTTAATAATTGCCCAAAACTATGTTTTTAAAAATATATTCGAGTTATATATAAAAAAAATTAAATTTTAAAGTTATACAACAAAGATAACTTATTATAATTTTTATATTTTTATAGATAAACTGGAATCAAAGCACCAACTACATTTGAATTAATCTCTAGTATCAACAAAGTATAACAAAAATATTTATCAAACCAGACAAAAAAACTTCTTTATTTTAAACCATATTAAAATGTTTTTATGTAGGAGTTTATTAAACCAAAAAAAATTTTATGAAATTAAAAGGCAACATAAAATCATTTGTAATATAAAAAAAAAAAAAAATTAGAAAATATAAAATTAAAACTTTTACACAAAAAAAATAGTTAAAATGAAATAAAGATTTTTTTTAAAATAAAAATCGAAATAATTATTTAAAAATACTAGCTCTAATACTTTTATACGTTTTATTTTTTAAAAATATTTACCAATTCATTGAAATTGTAAATGTCTTCTCCCAATAAACTGGCTATGGATAAATTGTAGGCGTATCGCTCCATTTCTTCCTCTTGTTAACATTTTTTAATTATTTATTTTTTTTAAAAAAAAATGATAATATTTCAAAAAAATAAGCAAAGATAAGTAATATCCAAAGTAGTTATGTGGGTCGTTAAATGGCTCGTTTAACCCCGATTCTTAAAAACAGCTGACTCAATATGTCCTCCAGAAAAATACTACGCGAGCCCTGAAGATTTTGCTCGTAGAAGGATCCAAGGTCTAGGCATATATCATCGAAATCTCGAGGCTTAGCTAATATTTTTCTGGCTAAAATATTGAGTCAGCTGTTTTAAAAAAATCGGCTCAAAATGAGCCCTTTAACAACACTAGTAGTTACGTGCGGGATAGAACTTTCCTTTTCACGATCGACTTTTCTTTCGGTATTTTTCAGAGTTGTTAAAAGATACTTTTTAAATGGATCTAGATACAGATACAACGTCTAAAATAATATCTAGATACAGATTATTTAATCAAAAATCTATCTAGATACAGATACCACATTTTTGTATCTAGATCCTTTAACAACTCTGGTATTTTTAATCAAAGTTTTGGAACGTTTACTTTATCAAAAAATGGGATTCTAACAATTTTTTTTAAAAAAAGGTGATATCTGGCAGTGGTCTCCAATACCCGGCTCGGCCCGTTAATGTCTCGGGTCAATCTGGGCACAAATAAATAAGGCTTGCCCGGACTGTTTTAGTAAGGGTCGGATAAAATTGTCCCAAAACCTGATTTTGTTAAAATAATATTTCTTTTTTTTATTATTAGCTTATAATTTTAATGATATAATTATTATTAGAATAAATAGGACTTATTTTTTGGTGATGCATTAGACTTCGACCAATTCTTATATTTGATAGAAATGATAAACCCATACCATAAACATGAATTATAATGTTTTTATATTTAACGATTCCCCAATATTTATAAATAGATGTTTATTTTGGGGTTCAGTGACAAATATTTCAGGTTAACTGTGTGGATTTAAAAACTGGGATGGGCTTGCAAGTTTAGTAAAAAAATAATTGAAACTGGACCAGACCATGCCTAAAACTGAATTCCCACCAGGTCAGGCCTGGCCTCAGAATTTTGCCAAGTGCAGACCACTGATATTTGGTTCTCAAAATTGTGAAAAGTGTGTTCAGGCTTATATAAATTTGACACATGTTATTACAAAAATGACTATTAACCTAACTCCTTTATTTAATCGATAATAAATATAATTTATATATAAGTAGTCTAAAATTTCGTTTATGCCTCATCCTAGCTCAACTAAATTAGTTATGGAGTTAGTGAACAATTAAATAGTCTGTCCAAGTTCACCAAACTAATTTGGAATTTTTACATCAGATAAAATAGTTTGATTCTTTGTAACATAAAAACCAAATGTTTAAATTTACAAGCAGAAGAAAAAAAATTTCAACCAAATTTTTAATTCCCCCTATTGTTTTTCAATTGAAATAAAACAACTTGATTCTGAAATTTAGTTAAGCAAAATTGTACTAATTTTAATAAGGTATTTTGGACATATATATTTTGTAACATTAATTAACAAATTTGTTGACTAAATTCATAACAAATTTAGTCAAGCTAGGATGAGGGTAGTATTCTAATTATATAATATTTCTATTTTAGTCATATTTTCAAGAATAAATGATAAAGTGTAACAAGCTCATGCCAAAAAAATCTCAAGAAAAAATATTGAGCAAATAATTGATAATTTTTTAATATTCGATATATTAAAATCCATTACTAGATAGTTTATCAATATCCATGACTCCCAGAAACTTCAAAGTTTCCTTGTAATACAACACGTAATCCTTAATTTCGTAATAATATTCACTTGAAAGCCTATACAACTCGCAATGAACAGGCGATATCCCATTTAATTTGTCTAGCATTTCTTCCGCCTTATCCAATAATTCCTAAAAAAAAAGAAGTTTTGATCATATTTTTTAAAAATAATTCTAAAAATGTTATCAAATATTGGTGTTTTATATCTTTAAAAAAAATTTCAGCCCAAAAAGACAATTTTATGACACCATCTCTGCATATGAAAACTTGAAGCAAACCTTCTTTTCAAGGAATGAAAACATTCAACAATAATATATTATGGGCTCAGTTATTCATCTCCCTTATAGAATACATAATATTTATAGAGCTATAATATTGTTTAGCAAAAATTTTACATCAATTAAGCATTATTCTCGTTATTATAAATGAGAGTGTTGTTAAATGGCTAAATTTAATGCAATTTTTTAAAATGGCTAACTCAAAATTTTATCCTGAAAAATATTAAGCAAGCCAGTGCCCATAGATGGCCCAAAGATTTGGACATCTATTAGTGAAACCTTGAGGCTCAGGCATTTTTTTAAAATTAAATTTTATTTTTGTTGAAGAAATTAAATTATAGAATTTAGATAAAATTAATAATAAATCAGACATATCAAACTAGATTTAAACAAGTAGAATACTTTAAAATCTTGAGAAATATAGCTGTTTAGATTTATAATTAGATAATAATAATAAGTTTAAGGATATTAAAAGCTATCATATCTAATTATCCTTAGATTGTAATATATAAAAACAGTACCTTAGTTTTACTATAGTCTTTTCTCGTCAAGTATATATGGCCTAATGCAGTGTAAGCTAAAGCATCAGCTTCTTTATTTAAAGAAACCTTAATATTTTGATAGAATTTAGAAAATCTATTCATATTATACTTTGTCTTTAATTTTTTGTAAAAATTTTATTCTTTCTTCAGTATCTAGATAAAATTAAGCAAAAATAATATATTTAATTGCCATACCTTTAATTTCCACAGATATTTCTATAGCTAATTTAATTAAAACTAAGGAGCTAATTCTATTATATTATATATGTGTTTAAATTTGAATATTTTTTATTAACCTATTTTCGAATTCAAATATAAATTTTTCATATAGCTACAATAATAATATAAAATAAAATGCAATTAATATATTTACATCTACTAAGCCACCATTTGATACAAAATGTTCATTTCTAATAAAATCTTCCAATTTCAATGTTAATTGATGCCATAACCTATTTAACTAAATAAATAAAATATTAAAAAATTATACTTTTTCTCATAAAATTCTTCCAAAATTTCCCATTCCTTATGTAAAGATGGATATTTCTTTTTCTGTTCATTCACATAAGCTCTAGGATCGATCATGTTTCAAAATATATGAATGAATGAATATAAAAATATTTAGAAGCGATTTGTGACTTTAAATTAATTTAAAAATAAATGTCGATAAGATGGCTCCTTCATTTAAAGAATATTAAATACAGAATTATAAAATAAACCAAAAACAGCATAAAAATATATTGCCATTAATTATAAATCGACAACGCATAAATTTACTAGAAATCATCCAATAGAAGAACACTAAAATATTTACATAAATGCTTAAGGTATAAATAAGCTAACAAAGAAAAATCAGATCATATCAACAATATTGATATGCACCAATAAAGCGTGAAGTTTATTATTAGGGAAACAATTTATTTTAAATTTATAACAGCATACAAAATAGTAGAAAATCTTTAAGTACTAAGTTAAAAGTTATTTTCAGATTTTAAATTCGCTAAATTGTCTACATTTAAAAACAATCAGATCTAAATTGGATATGCTATTATAACATACTATTTCTACAATAAGTATTTTTATTATTTATAAAATGTGAAAATCTCTCTTAAGAACTTGTGGTTGTTGGCATTAAATTGAGTGTTATACGTTAGATATATAACCTATTACATTAATTATCATATATAACAAATTTTATACAAATATATAATTAAATACAATAAATAATCACAATGTACATTGTGATGTTTGAGATATAAAAGGTTTTATAAGAATAAAATATAATTTTACTTTTTACAAAATGAAAAGATCCAAACATAATTTAACCTTATAATAATATTGATGGAAAGTACATTCGATAATCAATCCATTATATAAATTGTATCCAGAGTTTGGCAGTACCGCGAATATTTGTATCTAAAGTAATATAAGACAGTATCGTTTTGACGTTTTTAACAAAATACTATACTAGTATCTATATCTAATATCTTTTCTTCTTAAAAGAATGCATCTTTTTAATTTTCTTGATAAAAAATTCAGATACAGATTCTTTTTAATATTCATGTTAAAAATTCATATCTCAGAATATAATCTTACTTTCTTCATGGAATTTTGTATTAATTTCCTTTCTTTCCGAAATATTTTAAATACTTTGACAACCAAAATTAGCAGGGAAATTTACATCCCATATTAATATAGATAGATATAAAATGATGTTTTGGAAAAGGTTTTGAGATGATTTTCTCCTATAATGAAGCTTTTTTGGCATCATTGTCACATCTATATTTTAACAACTTATGGAGATTAGGATGATAAAAAAATAATTTAATTATTTTTCTTTTGGTGAAACAAATTTTGCTGGGTTTAATAATACAGATAACATTGAGCTGGAGATTTTAAATTATATTTAAGACTGTTGAAATACATTAAACATGCTTAATTATTATCCTTCCATCAACAAACTTTTTAAAAATATATTATTGTATGGCCTTCATTCTCCAGTTAAAAGGTTATACAGTTTTGGCACAATGTTAAATATGCTAAAACAGCAAAGGGGTAATGAAAAATTAAAAAATTAATTATTTTAAATATAATGATTTTATTTTATTTATTTTAAATACACTTTTTTAAAAATTAATATTTCAATTCCCATTAAAAATACTATCTTTCTCTGTCTATACCATGAATGGGCCAAAACTAAACGCTTGATTATTATAATTAACTCGTTATTAACAATAAACAATAAAAATTGTATTTTATAAATTATTCTGATTTAATTGGTATTGATAATTTTATAAAAGTCTCTTGTATTTAAGATATTCTCATTTAGCAAAAGATACAAGTATCTTATATATTTAATCTTTTTTATATTTTGAATAAGATAGTAGTATCTGTATCTATGATCCATCTTTTTATAAGGAATCATTATATGACCTAGATTCCTTTTTCGGAGGATTTGTCCAACTTTGATTGTATCTATAAACAAAATACAATTTATTTAAAGTTAATACATCACAGTTCTCCCCACTACAAATTGAATTTGTCATAATGACGTAGTAGCGGTTTATAAACTCTTTTTTAAAGAGTTGTAATTCCATTATGTTCAACATTGTCCAAATCTCCCGTCATTGTTATGAATATTTCCTTAGCTTATATATGAGTGCCCTGAGTTGGTCTAGATATTTGTTTTTTTACTTTCACACTCAACATCACACAATATCGCACTTTTCCACTGAACCATTGTCCCTTCAAGCCATTCCGCAGTCCTTTCGTCTTCTATCCAAACCTTTTGCTTACCTTCAAATTTTCGGAGCTCAAAGTTCCTATTTTTATAATATTTTTGTTTCCATGCCTTTATAATCCTTTCTCTCGTAGATAATTTCCATTGATCTAACGTCGTCCTGAGCGGCCTTCCAAACATCATTTCGGCAGGGGATTTACCGGGAGTTCATTTGGAGTATTTAGGTGAGTAATCAATTCGTGAGTCCCATAGCTCCTTCGAGCATAGAAACACGTCTTTATCGTATGTATATAAGTAACTGAGTTTTCTCCAATTTTAATTTTATCGGTCGTCCTTGCCAGCTCGGCCTTATCAAATCTTCTTAATACTTTTTTTAGATTAACTACATGATCATTACTCGCCCGCAATCATTACGTCTTCTAAAAATACACCAACCATAGGAATTCCCTTTTAATAGGATTAGCATAAAGCGTTGAAATATTATCGGATAACCGACATGAGTCGAAATTACTAAAAGGTCTCAGAATTGTAAAAAATCTCTTAAATATATCGTAGTAAATATTTTACCACACCTATTTGTCAGGTCGACAAATGTTGGTGGTAAATCATTATATATCTCTAAATATTTGTGGATTGTTAAACAAAATCTGCGCATATCCGCTCAGCACCGGATTTCTTTAAGATATTAGCTGTTGCGAAGCCTAAGTGATTGGCAGCGGAAATGGAAATTTTCTAATTGGTAAAGGTATCGGTAATGCGTTCGGTTGTATGCGGATAACTGCATATTGGAGTTTTATTTCTCCCAATTTTTTTTTTAAAACTTGAAATTTTGATATAGTATTTAATAGGGAATATTCATATTTATCCGAGCTTCTTCGGAAGCTTTATATCGAATTCTCTAAGAAATGGAATTCCAATACAGAAATTCTCTCCTTTAACTGCCCTAACAGATAATTTAGAAATGTTTTTTTACTACGACTTTCAATGTAAATTTACTCAACACTTCGATTTTGCTTTTATTATACCCAGCTAGTTTATACGAAGGCGATAGTGATGGTTTGTCAATACGTCTCCAGGCAACTTCATCTATCACACTGCACGCATCACTAGGTAAATATCACCGTTATCCTAGAATTCAATAATATTACTTTATTTAATATCCATATTTCAAAAAAATAACTCATTGGATCATTCACAATTTTATTTTGTTATCATATAAAACGATTATATTTAATATTTAAGCTCTTAATATTATTCAAAAACCATTATATTTAATATATTGGATCCTTTTCAATTTTTTCATAAATTTCCCTATTCTCATAACTAGTAAACCAATTTCCAAATTTATTATCCACCACATTGATAAAATTTATCTAAACCATCCACATTTATTTTACAATAACATTAATGATATTTCAAATCCAATGTGTCCTATCAGCTTCTATCTGACAGGATATTCACTGGAAGCAAACCTCGCTTAAAAACCTAAACTAAATTATTTAATTACATGTTTTTAATTATAAAATAATAGCTTCATATATTTTAAAAAGAAAAATTATCAATACCCTATAACCAACTATCAAAAAATTGTGAATGTAAATGAGTTTTTTTTAGAACATGAATTATATTAAAATTCCCACATTTTCAAAGAAGGTATTATTATTATAGCATAATATTGTTTGGCATCAATATGAGTTAGCTAATGGAATGTTTAACAAAAGAACAGGAAATTATCCAGAAATAAGTTTTATATGATAATATCTATATTTAAAAATATATTTATATTATAAATTATTATATCAACACATCGATAGATCATTCAAAAGAGTATTAGATAGCACTTTAAATTATTATACCCTACTCCCTATGTAATGCTTACTCCTCCCAATCCTCTTTATAATATTTGCACGCAAACTATTTCTAATCCCCCTGCCCACCCGCTCACATAAACGCTCTGCACATGCGTAATTCAAATGAAATCTCATTGGTTAGTTATTTTATTTAATGAAAAATAATATTTTTCTTAAATCTGCCTTTGTTTAATATATTAAGTAGGCCAATTTACCATCCTCTAATAAAAAATAATAATTGAGGTAATTATAATATAACTATTAAATTTAAAGTAACTGTAATTATTTTAAGTAAGGTAACTAACCATGCCATATAACCAGTTAAGTTTTGGACAATGTAACTCGTTAAAAGTAAAACGTGTACTACACTATAATTCAAATATTTATGAATAATTATAAAGATTTACAATTTAACAATAATGATGAATAATTCATATAAAGTCTTATTCGTTTATTTTTTTTTAAAGATTTCTAACTACTAAGAAATTAGACTGTATATTATATACAACACCAGAAAATTTATTTCAAATTTCGACAACAATATTAAATATTGCTCTCAATTACAGAATAATTACAAAATATGATTTGAAAATTAAATATTGCCTGTTAAAGAAACCCATTAATAATTTATTTTAAAAACTAAACTCTGATATGTAGTAATGTTATATATATATATTGTACTATATATTTTAATGGCCTTTATATTTATAAAATATTATATTATTTGTTTGTATATTGTTTTGGTGGCTATAGTTCAAATATTAAAAGTATCGATAATTGTAAAATTAGACTTATTTTCGAAATAAATATTATAATGTTATTTATATCCAATTACCTTTTATCGAAAGATATACACATAAAGATTACTACTTTAATTACCATTTAAATAAATATCCTTAATTCTTGTCTACTATCATAAAATATTCCCTACAAAACTATATAGTAAAGTTTAACCTCTTGATACGCAAAAATATTTAGTTAGAATATACTCAAACTTTTCATCTGTCACTGTTAGGGTTTTCATTACTC